GCGTGCGTTGTTTAAGTGTTCCCTTTATTTTTTTGAGCAGTAGTGTTCCCTTTATATTTGATACTGTAAATAAATGACCAGACTAAGGTTGGGTATAATCATATCGTGTGCAATTAATCGTCAAAAAAACATTAATCGATTACTTTTTGGCACTTGATGATTAATACAATTAATGCCACCAGGCAGAGTTCGCTCGGTGCTCCTCTCCACTTCAAATAAGATGAACATTAAAAAAAGTTCTGTAATTTATTTATCTATCAACACAGTTTTAAATTTGTTGTACAGTATAGCCTCAAGTCTGTAATTTTGACACAATTTGGAACAGATTTGTATGAAAAGCAAATCTTTCCCACTAAATTGGTCATGTGACCAGGACATAAGGGTGTCCAGGTATTCCAGGGGATGAATCGTCAAATTAATAACTATCGGCTAAATACCACAATTAATCGTGATTTTTTTTTTTGCCATATTGCCCAACCCTAGTCCAGACCTCTGACATGGCTCTACTTCAGTTATTCCTGGCTACGCAGCATCAGTATCACTATCATGATCAAACAGATGTCGCTCAACCAACCATCTCCTCTCCCAAAACAGAAACAAAAAGCTTAAAAGTGGGAAATAAATATCAGACGTTAATATCGGCCCAGTTTTACATATCGGACCGATACCGATATCAATACTGATACATCGTGCATCCCTAAATGAGATTGTAGGGTTAGGTTAGTGTTAACTGGCTCACATGCGCGCCTGATATTGATAATGTGTCATACACAAAAATATGTCATCACATGGCACTAATGGCAAAATGTGAACTGTTAATTGCTGATAGTTTTGCTGATGTTAATTGCACACAATACCCAACCCTAGTGGATGACCTTCACTTCCCTGTTGCCTCTATGCACCTCTGTCATCATGAGAACTGTATCCTGACTCTTTGTCTTAAGAGAGACTGGAGGCAGTGGTGGGCTTACTCTGGGGATTGCCCCTCACTAATCCCTGAGGATCTGGAGGATTACTTCATGTGTGTGTGTGGGGGGGGGGGACTCTGCATCCATATTACTGATACATCTAGTTGTTCAGCTGAGTTTTAAAGTACAACACACTGTAAAAATAGGTTGTCTCACACAGGCTGTGACGGAGACCTTAAACAGGTTCGTTCTGGTGTTTTAAGGGCTCAAACATGGACCAGTTAAATGACAGCAAGCTGTGATCCACAGTAAACCGATGACATCACTACATAGATCTGTGTGGAGTCTGTTGGGAGAGGAGGACTGGATATGCAGGGGATAGCACAAGGTGTTTATATTTAGCTGTGGAGAAGAAGACCGGGTCAAACAGGGAGTGCTGTTTGTCATTAAAGCTCTCCCGTATTAGTGTTAGGGGTCATCAGGTGTCTGTTTTCAGGAAAAAGTCATATCTCAGAACCCATTCGTTGCATCTTTGAGGAGAAGTTGCGTCTTTTTACATTAGATGTTTACTTCATGAAGCATTCACACTGTTTGCCTTTGGGGATGCTGGGCATTCCTGTCGTTGCATCTGTTCCCCCTCGTGGCAAATGTTTGAGTTGTCTGGCAGTGGAATAAAGTAGCACGCCACCAGTGAAGGAGCGAGCGACGGCCAGAGAGGGAGGGAGAGGTGAATGAAGAGGGCGGGGCAGAGGAGAAGGGGGCGAGACAGATTTATTTTGCACAGCTGAGTGCTGCACCTCTCCATGGACCTGGGGTCAGAAACAAGGGGAAGAAGGGGAACAGATTGAGAGTGGGAGGAGAACTGGGGACATGGATGCCTTAGCACTAGAGGCTACTGGTAGTAGAAGGGCGACCGCTGCGACGGTGACTGCCCCAATCCCAGGTCAAGCTCCAGCAAAACGCAAACCTGCCAAAAAAGCTAAAAAGGCTGTTGTTTTTTTTGAGGTGGAGATCCTGGATGCTAAGACCAAGGACAAGCTGTGTTTCCTGGACAAGGTAAGAACTTACTTTTTCTTTAACCCATGTAATTTACACAGTTCTTTAATACCCCAAACCTTTTTTTAACCAGTTCAGTCTCTGAACATTTAATCATCTTTATGTTTAATTCATGTTTGTTTTCCAAATAAATTGTGTGAAATATATTCAGTGTAATATTACAGTAAACTGTATGTTGTTTTTGTTAAACGTAGAGCAACATGTTTTACTATCTGTCAGTGGTTATTTAGCCTGTGAGACACAGACAGTGTGTTTCATGTGTCTCCAATGCTGGGGTTGGTTATGTTGATGACGTGAAGGATGACAAAAAGCAATATAGAAACACTAGTTTCATGATTAGTTTAACTTTAATATTTCAGTCAAGTTCTTTATGTAATTATGGTAAGTGTATTTTTTGTAATATTTTAAACATTAATAACTGTGCAAAGCAAATAACTGACACAGAGTGGCTCAGTTTTATATGCTTCAGTTAAAAATTAACTCCTAAAGTTTTTTTGGTTTTAAACAGAACTGTTTTTTTTTTTTTAATCTTTAATTAAACACTTTGACTGCTGAATCTTTTGGCTTGTTAAACTTGCCTGTAAAGAAAAGTTCAGAATTTGCACTTTTGTCTATAAAAGACATGTACTGAAAATTACAAATCCTAAAAGTAAAAACCCTATAGAGWTTTATTGATTTCTTGAAGTGGCTTTTTGCCTCACTGACTTTATCAGCAGGCTGTGGTGTGTTCAGTCAGGTATATTAAACGAGCCAATCACAAGAGGGTAGCCCCACAGCTCATCCAATCTACTAGTGACAGTCTGACCTGGTGAGCATGCCCTCCAAACATCCCCAMTCTTTACTCACTATGCAATTCATATTGAATAACATATCTAAACATAACGTAGCAACATAATTTTTTACATTTTTATAGACTTAATACTATGGAAAATGTATTTAATTAAACGGTACAACAGCATTTTTAGCTTTTTGGTTCAAGGTTTTTGTTTTATTGTGCAAAACATGCGTCTGATTGTCCTGTCATAACTTTATCTGCAGTAAATTATTTTTTATGTGATGTTGGCTGATGGACTTACTGTTTTCATTTGGGGCTCAAGGGTCGTAATTGCTTCAGTCATATTCATTTAGAATGGAAACCTTTTGTTTAATCAAAAATACTTACAATGTGTATCAAATGACTCATTATTTGTTCATAATGTGTTAGATTTATTTATTTTATTTTTAAAATTCATTTATTCATTTCATATAAAAATAAAAATTTTATACACAATAAAGAAAAAAAATCACACTTGAAATGAAAGGAGGCAGAAAGAAGAAAAA